TGTAACAACAGACACTCATTCTGTATCAGAACCCTCCGTCACTGTCCATTTCATCAGTAACAACAGACACTCATTCTGTATTATAAATCATCTTATTCTTTCCCAACACATAAAAATGCAAAAATTTGATTTTTTTTGTTTAATATGTTGATACACATTTGACACTTTGTCCGTATGGCGTGAACAAGAAGTGAACTAGAGCTGTCACCGTGGGGTTACAAGTATACCCCAAAATCCATTGCTTTTTGATTATTTTGGGTGAGCTAACTGAAATATCAATTTTATCTCTCGTCAAGAGCATAATTTTTATGCCATTTTGTCGCTAAAGAAAAAGGAAGTGTGATCACAGTCACATATACGCTTTAGTTTCTAGGCTTATTCAAAACACCAAGAAGACTGTGATCAGGATATGATACTAAAACGATACGAAACAGGCAGAAGTTTCCAAAATTGGCACAAATAAGACATAATCATACAATGATTAGGCAAAATTGTAACGCGTATGTTTTATGTTAAAATCGTAAGGATTAGGCCAAAAGAGGAAAGGTTGGCACCTCTGCATGGTACTGCCACTACACAAAATGTTTCAAAGAAATCTATTAAAAAATGAGATATTGCATAGCCTACAATTTTTGTCTATGGACAGACTGGCAGACTGACAAGCTGATTCCAGTATATCGGTATATTCCTCCCCACCCCCCACTTTTTGCGGGGGGTATAATAACTTAAATTTGCTATGCTTTTGCTTTTTTCTTATCTGTTTGATTGAGTCATGTAAACAGTAAATGCACCTTGAGGTAACTTTTGATCAAAACTTCATACTGCTGTGTATAAAAGACAACCTTCAAAGCGAGTTTGTCGTTTCACATATTTACTAGCACAGTACAGAACCGATCGTTGCAATAGGAGAAAGATCAGTAAAGTACTTCCTCCAACTATCTTGCTTTAATGATTACTCTTAAGACAAAACATGCACAAAACAAAGTGCCAAGGGGAACCTACATATCAAATTTGAGAAAGATCCCTCCAGTACTTCCTGAGAAATAGCCATAACATATTCACTGTAAAAATCCAAGATGGCCACCTGTCGGCCATTTTGATTATCTGATCAGTCTCAAAAGTAAACATGCACAACTACAGACCAAGGGAACCTACATATCAAAGTTGAGATAGATCCCTCCAGTTCTTTCTGAAAAATAATGATACTAAGATCTGTTTAAGGCAGACAGACGACGAATGATGGATGACAGATTTAGATGGTTGACAGACTAAGAAAGAAGGGCATTAATTTGAATAGCCTACCATCAGATGGTGGTGGACTAAAAAGGGGGAATGTTAGTGGCATGGTACTTTTATAATTATAAATAACAGAAATTACATATATATCTCCAAAGTCGGTTTAAGTCAATTATGATTTTAAGCTAATTTTTAATTTAAACATCTACCTAGTACGTTCATGTCAGGGGGATCACTTATAAAGCTTACAA